AATAATAATCAAAGACCGAACACGTCCCCGCGTTCGTTTTACGTTTATCTGCATAGGAGTTGAACGAGAGAGACGTAAGTCGGTCAGTAAGTAGTCAATAGTAAGAACGAGAGTCCGTCAATTCTTTACGCGGAGGAAAACGTCAAGTAGATACGGGACGCGTTCCCGTCGTTCTTCAATAATTCCGCGGATTCCTTCGAGCACGACGGAATCGAACAGAACCATCGCGACGTACTCTCTAGGCTCTATATAAATTGTAAAAGGACACAATTTTGGCAGCGGACAAGTGTGTGTGTATGCGCGCGCGCAGACACTCGTACAAAATGCTATTGTACCTCTATATTATTCTTACATACATACATACACACACACACACACACACACACATATATTTATCCCGCCGTATATACGTACACACGCGCGTAGGTACATACGCGTTATATCCCGAGTAGGTATCGGTGGTTCTATTCGATTCTATTATTATTCGATTCTAGTCCGTCCGTTATGCTCTTTTATTCGGTGCATCGGTACAATATGTAGAGAAATATACGCGTATCTCTATTTTCCCTTCTATTTCTATTGTGCCCGTCGTCGCGCGTATACGTCTACATACAATCGTACATGCATATACATACCGCGATGTATTTCTTACCCAATATTAGGACACACATACACACTGCTGTTTTACGTTTAACTCGTATCCATGTGTCGTCGTCGTCGTCGTCGTCGTCGTCGTCGTCGCTCACAGAATATCACAAAAACACGACCCGAACATATACGATACACGCACGCACACACCCGTAACCCGGATAACAAATTTTAACGTTTAATAATCGTCGATAATCGTTAATCGTGAATCCCGTCGATTTTTGCTCGCCTCCCTTGTTCAAAGCCAGCGCGTTACCACTGTGTTTTAAGCTCGCTACCGACGGCGAGCATCACTGTCAGACGCACACAATTAAAGAAGAGAACCGCGACGGACTACCGAGGGGCGACCATAAGCGAACGGGCGATCATAACCGCCGCTCCGCAGCAATCAATAAGCGACAATGGCGGCCGAGCTACGACCAATGAGCTTTTCACCCCGAATAGCGAGTCCCGCATGCGCCGCTGCCTGAGCTTTCGGATTTCAACTCTCCCACTATCGAAGGTTAGTCACAGTGTCATAGTTGGAGAGCTTGACGGCAGAGGACGACGTTTTCAAAGGCAATAAACCTGGCCGTTACTTTCATAAATCCGTAAAGCCTCGGTAGTCGATACAAAAAATATACAATAGGGGCAGTTCGAGGGGAGAACTATGTTTCTACAATCAGTAAGACGATTTTATTAGGTTTGTCGTTTTTATATCTCACAGTCGAGAATCGTGTTCCACTTGGTCTACTAATACGAGACGGGGAGTAGTTTCATCGGAAATCGTTTAGACATCGGAAGAAATCAGTAGTTGAGGCGTTGCATATTATTGACCACTATACGTACTATATGATAGGGGGTGAACGAAGGGGATGAAACGATAGTTCACATTCAGCTAATTCAGCTTCGGTCTTTGACGAGTAGAATTTTAAGAGTAAGGTAGTTCGGCTCGCTACCAGAATCAATGTACACTGTGGCGATAAAGAACAAGGATAACAGATTTTGCTTGGGCCAGAGTTCGACTAGACGCGCAAACGTTACACCTGGACAATTGGAAATAGACGAGTGTGTCCAAGACACGTACACACGTGTAGAACCTAAGCTCCAGTCAGTTACTCTAGCAGAACCGCTTTTACTAACTAACTAACTACGCAAACGATCCGAAAAAAAAAAAAATACCAAATACCAAAGCGACTGTTAGTAAATCAATTGTTTCGAACCGCCAAGTAATTGAACGACGGTTGACGATCGACGATCGATCCAAGGTGAGTGAGCATCGACGTTGTAGATACAGCCATGCTTCCGGTCACTTGACAGAATCAGACCTCGAAGAATTCCCGATCTTCCCAGCTAGCAAGATTTATCGACCACTGCACAGTTAGAGGGGATGATTCTCGATTGGGATAATTTCCAGGTCAATGGTCGTAAATTAAAACAGTTTTTCACAAATTTATTGACCATAATTCACCGATTTTTACAAACGGTTTACGGTTGCACGTACTGTAATCTGTAATATTGTCTGGCAATTGTCTATTCTACTGTAAACGGGCATAAAAGTGTACGAGAAAGTGGAATATTTATTAGTACTATGCGAGTTATATAAAATGGATAACGTACAAATATCGTATAGAAAATATCGATTCCATAATTAATTATAAAGTATCGATTTCACATTATGTAAGAAAGTGTAACGTAATGTCGTGTCCAGCTTGTAATTTATTAATAATTCATTGGAACGATAGAAAGAAACGCGAGCGATCGTTTTATTAATTATTCGGTATCGTTCGCCTTAACGTCCGTGTGACGGCTAGTTAATTGGAGAAACTGCACGACGTAATTGACGTAAGACTTCAAATTATCCGGCTTTATGGTCTCCAAGTGAATTGTGACGTGAGAATAAACCCGGCGAGCTGCTTTATTGGATAAACGACCCAACGTTTGAAGAGTGTGGAGAAGTTTGTCTTCCGTGTTTATCACTGAAGTGAAAAAGCCAGATCGATTAGTCAGACGTGTGTCAGGCGGGCAAAGCTGAGATCTAATTTTACCTATAGACTCTTCGTCTCCCGTCGCAGGGAAATACTTGTCGATTATCTTATCCACGACGTCGGCCGTGCTGTCGAATCCTCGAATAGCCGCATTGCCGTACTGCGTCTCTAAAAGTTGATTAGCCTTGCTCCAACTCTTAGCTCCGAGGCTCAATGCATTCGATATTATTAACTCGTTGGCCAGAGAGATAGTCGAGACCGCAGGTTGCATCGTTCTCTTAGCTATGGCGCAGGCGTTCTCCAAAATCTAAACGAGACGAAACAATCGTCGATTTGATAAATTCGTTGAGTATTTAAGCTGTCGATACGACGTCGTCTATTAATGTATAATTGAAGTCGAGGGATAGGAAGTCTCGGTATCGTTTTACGTGTTACCTGTTCGGGTTTCTCTCTGACCATCGGAACTTTTTCCTCTATCTTGTCCAACCCGAGGCACAGCGTGTGGTCGATGAATTGTATAGGATTCTCCAGTTTCTTGGCAATGGGCACTACTGCCATTACCCCAGCGCTGGTCAGCGACGTTTCTGCGGTTGTCAGCGCCCAGTTTAAAAGTTGGTGCCGGTCTTTGATACGGGAATATGTGGTGAACGAACGCGATATCGCCGTCTCGATCATCGGTACCTCCGAGTACACCCGATGGAACACTTTGATTTCTGGTAATCGAATCACCTCGGTCCCGGTTCCCATTTTCAAATACGATCGAGCCTGCGAAAAATTGTTTCGTCGTTTCTCCAGATGGTTGAATTTCAAACACGGTTTAACGAATTTCAAACGAGCAGTAATAATAGCTCTCTGTTAGATTTTACAATTTAAAAATCTAATTACACGACTATCTAAATACCAGCGAAATATGGGTTTCGTACTCACTTGTTACGTTCACCTGATCTTCTTCTTCTTCTTTTTCTACTAATAATTGTTTGTAGTTTGTCGACAAGGTCAGGCGCTATTCGATTCTCAAAGTAAACTGACATGAATTCTCGGTTGGAAGCAGTGTCTCTGAACTCGTCTGATACACACGCGTGCATGTATATAGTTCATATATAGCTCGGATGGTTTTAGTTTCACTTATTGGGTTCTAGCTTCAGATACAAGATACAGCCAATCGGAGTCGACGTAGGCGTATATATCTTTCCGTTGTACGTATGTACGTACGTATATAGTTTTGTACATGTACTGCCTCTTCTGTTCATAGCAACGAGCGTAAAGGTACGATACGAATGCATATAAGAGCGTACGAGGGAATCCAAAGTCCACCGAGTCGACAGACGGTTCCTCGCATTCCTCTTATCTGTCGCTTATCTACTTATCATTAATTATATTCTACAATAACCGTGAATCAGCTTAACGTCTGCGTGCAAACACATCATCACAGGACTAATTGTATATTGTTATCTCCTCGTACAATATCGTCTTTATACACTCTATCTCCGTACGTTTTATTTCATTGATTAATAAATATTACCGACTCGAGAGAATAATATTTTATTTAATCGAGAAGAGAAAAACGTTAACATCGATCGTGCTAATTCTAAAGTAAAAGATATACTGTTCAATCGATGTCACCGCCGTTGATCGATGGATTGTTTGAATTCGAGCCCATCAAATGGTTATTCTGACGGCGAGCCTGGACGCGAGGCGCTTTCGAAGCGCTGCTGGGACGACCGGCCAAAAATCCGGCGAGCTGTTCCTAGAATGCCGAAACACAGATCGATACAAGGTTTTCAATTTTTCATTGAATTCGTGACATGCAACGCGGCGAGATCAAACAGCGTACCAATAAGTGATTGGTAGTGGAATTGAACCTCTCTAAAGACATACGTAACATCGATATTCCTGTATAGACATCTTCCTTCCCGATGAGCGGAATCATCTTCAAATTGTAATTAAATTAATTATTTCCAATTCGAACGAACGAACGAACGAACGAACGAACGTAAAGTGTATTCGTATTTAATTATTCTCTTATATACTTTGAAAGTGGAATGGGCGATCTCCATCAGTTGATGAGAGACTTTCGTCAGAACGATTCCCAGGTTCTTCGGGGTTTTGGCCGCGAGCACCGTCGTTCTGTTCACGAGATGAACGACGCGCCGAGCAGACTCTCGTGTCAATAGAACCATTAATTGTTCCAGAGTCTGGGGTCTGGCCTGGTTCTCCGGTTCCGGCAGGCTCAAGCTGGCCCACAGCTCTTTCGCCTTCTGATACGCTAACTTCGGATCCGTAGCTAACTGCAACACGTATTATCGTACGACTTTCATTGCACGATGTAACATCGTTCGGGGAATTTGAAAGTGGTCAGTTGAATCGAGAGTAAATTGTTCAGTCGTTTTCGTACCAGTTCGACGACGTAAAGGAGAACGTGGATACACTCGGTCCCTTGTTGCTTCAAGGCCCTAGCCTCGGCCAGAGTGCGACGAGTCAATCGTTTCTGCAATTTCCTCGACAGTCTGGCTCCATGCTTGATGGTCCTGGTTGCTTTGCTGATTTTTCCGGATTCTGCTGGAAGTTGTACTTCTACAAATGAACGACGATCAGAGTCGCAGGGAATAAGGGGATGTTGACTCGAGAAATGTCAAGGTGTACAGTTCCCTGTATCTATACACTATACGCGCGTGTGCAAATCTTTTACATGAAAAAAATCTGAATGAAAAAGTGAAAAGTTGAAAATGCAGAAACGCGGCAACCCCTATTCAATTACCATCGGTCATTTTGTCGGTCGGATCGGCAGGCAAATAACGATCCACGTATTTATCCGCGACAGTCAATGCCCCGTCTAAAGTATCAGCGGCTACGCTGGCAGCTTGGCTACCTATGTCCTTGACGCTACCAGCCCTCATTAAAACTGGTCTCACTATCTTCTTATCAACGTACTCCCTCGCGTTGTAGTACATCTTAACAAACGAACACGACACCATTGATAATTACAAACCATACTGGGAATTTTATACACGTATTACACGTTATTGAAATACTGCACGTTTTACCAAATACGGGGGCAAGTGCACCGAGGGCACCCGTTGCTCTACGATGTCGATTCCCTTGCAGAGCAACTGATCTATAGTCATTATCGGTCCGTTCAATACGTAAACGACAGGTCTCGTGGACAATTTTGCCGTGGCGATAGCGAACGATTGTTCCGCGGTGCACAGGCTCCAGTTCATCAATGAATTCGATTTCTGAAATTCCAATAGCCGTCTACCATCGTTTCTATAATACGACCGACAAAATTATTGCTCACTTTCAATTTATCGTACACATTGCCAGCAATATGCATACTGTGCTCGACGATAGGCAGGCTGGTTATTCTAGCTACCGATTCGAGCGATTCGAGCCGTACCAAGTCGCCCGTTTGACGCCTCTTCACGTTCGTTCGCGCCATTATCGTGTACCTTGAAACAATGTGCTGGATAAATCCATTTCAATTAACTGATTGGACGTGCATTCTAATATTTTAATAGCACATGTAATAGAAGTCGGAATGCATGGGCCATTGCCAGACAAAAACGTAGAGGTCTCAGATAAGGGAACTGTGACGAAACAATTTTACGTACCTCGTTAAGTACTTGGAATTCTCTGCCTTCTTACCTGCTAGGCGATCTCTGATGAACGGGAAAATGTATATCGTTCAGCTGAACTTACGGTGACAAACGATACGGAACGGAAAAGAGAGAGGTGTTTAAATACCAAGAGCAAGTAACTACATATGTAACTGCGCCTTTGCCAGGCGAACGAACGCGATTTAATCTGATCGGCTTGACCTATGACACTTTGTGTAAGTAGCGATTGCTATAACAGTCCAGAGACGCTAATTAACTGTACTCTAGTATCGGGCATACACACACACACACACACACACGTTTGTCGACCTATTATAAATCGAACGAGCATGCTTTAGAATAAAAATGATTTCTCAAGTAAAAATGACAATTTTACCCGTTAATCGTAAATTATATAATCGAATTGCGATTGGACATGATGGAAGTTTGCGGTACACAGTCGACGGACTTAAATCGTAATTGTAAAGAGGAATTAAGAACGTCTGGACTGGCTCGCGATAATAATTACAACTTTTCCGCTATTAAAGCACATATAATAATTTCCTTTTACTGCACATTTATCTATACATAAATTTTTCGTTGACTTCTACCGATAAGTCATCGTTATAAATACTTTCATAATTTTTATACGGGGAGATCAATAGGTATTTTTAAACGTACTTACGATGCACAACAGAACCGGTAATTAGCTTATACATATAACGAGAATCGTAATACGTTTTCTCGAAACCCTTACAGAGCGACATTTAAATTGAAACTTTGTTATCTGACGAACTAACCAAGATTAAATGAAAGATAATTGTATCTACCGATCAGGCAAACTGTTTTCCAGAGACCGGAGCCTTCCGCGAGCAACTAGAGAAACAGTATACTTGAATTTACATCCAGTTTTTTGCACGTATTTTAACGGTTCTTCACACTTCAACTTCGGAGAGAACGATCAGCATAAAATGTATGCATTGTACTAGGGAAATAGGACGAACATATAATTATGTATATTTGTTTTCAGTCATCTCTTGTTTATTTTTTATTCACAGTCAATAATTAATAAATAATATAACGCTATTAATAATAATAATAATAATAATAATAATCGCTATTATTACAATGCTCGGTTTGGTTAGTCTAATTCTATAAAATGATCGCGACGTCCAGTTAATAAATAAATTAATTAATCAATATAAAAATGAGCTCGTAAAAAACCTCTCTCGCTTCTCGAATTCTCGACCAATTAATTATAGGTAGTAATCGTTCAATCAATGAATTCTTCTCTAAATTTATTTACATTATACATATAATGTTGTTTACTTAAATACGATGTAATAATCATCAATTACTATACAGATACGGCAATATATCGTAATATTGAAAAATTGTAAAATTTTTTAAGAAAAAATCGACTAGACCGCTATAAGTAATATATATTAAATTTCTAATTCATAATTTGTTCATTCATTTATTTATTTACTAGTGATTTAGCCTTCCTCGTCTATTTGTTCATTTACTTAACCATTTATTTATTGATTTCGTAAACATTCCGTGATTCGAGGTGGATTTTAATATTCATTCTACACGGCGACCATCGCTTCCTCGAGCATGCAAACGCGCATTTAATACCATTAACGTTAATCCTAATTCTTAATAATAACGATACCAATAGTCTTTAATTCTAATTAATAATAATGATATTAATAATAATAATAATAATCCATAATGACGGTTCTATTAAATAATTCTAATTAACAAATCATCATATTAAGCAGTAGTATTCCTAGCAATCAGTCTCCCTCACAATTTGGGAATCTTTGTTTTGAAAAGATGCGTACACGTATGTATGTACGTATACACGTTCATACATTATTCGGATGGTGATTTTACAATTAATTTTCGATCTTCTCCCATCATTCTTATTATACTCACTCTCTATCTATACTATATATATTTTATTTTCTCCTACACATATACATATGTCAATTATTATTGATTTCATTTTTTTGATGCTACTATTATATGTATTAGAATTTCTCGTCCCCGATAATTTTACAATCAACTGCCTCGCATTTCGACTTTAATTCATTCTGCTATTACCTATCTCATTTGTAATTCGAATAACGTTTATTAAAATAAATAAATAAGTGTGTCCACTAATTTTACAATTATACAAAAGATTTTTACATAATATTTAACGACTTTATATATGTATGTATGTATTGTATATACCTAGCAACGCATGTATAATAATCATTTATTCATTTGTTAATTTGTTATCTATTTATATACTTATACGGTTCTAAGGTTTTGGCAAAAATGGTTGGCTCGATATAAAAAACATTCGTTTCTTTTATCTACTCATTTATTTATTTATTTATTTATTTATTTATTTATTTATTTATTTCTGTCCTCTTTATAATCGTGTATATGATTCATTCTTCTA